GCTTTTTGAATCTATTAGTGTATTGTCTATCAGTAGTACAAAAAATAAGTAGCTAAAGCACAAATGTTGTTATTAACTCATCATTATAGTTATGTGTAAATGTGCATTAATTTAGTTTGCTCCAGCAACTTCCAAGCAAGCTACATTAGCATATCTAAATCACATACCAATTACATTATATAATCACATATAGATGAAATACTGAACTAGTTTCTTATACACAAGTGATAAGATTACATTACTTAATTATGCAAGCATATAGCCCTGCATGTTTACTAGCACTGCTATTGTTATTTTGTGCATCATAAGTGTCTTACGCTACTAAACCACACGTTATCATATTGAGATGTCAATAATCAGTTTTACATGTACTATATTATTAGTAACAACTCACATGTAAGGCTTATAGAGATGACACCTCATCAGGACTGACCGCACATCATGTAAGAAATACATGTAGGAATTTTCTTCCTGTTTGAAAAAGAAATCCATTACTATCATTCGTTGTCAATAAGTACAATGTGCTAATGGCAAACAATAAACTCTCCTAGACACTGCATGTGTGCTGAGTGTGCTTAAAAGTTACATTCGAGCTAAATGAATACCTGGCACTTCACATGATGCTACCAATATGATTACATACTACCAAGAGTACATAATGCTACTTACAATACATAGTCTATAGGTCAATATGTTTTAAGATTAAAAGAAGGCATGTAGCTTACTTCATTGCGAATAAATACACAACACAATAATAGTTTGTAAAAATGTCAACTGCTTCAGAGTACTTTTTTGTGTCTACATTCTCTCTCAGTCTCGATCTCATTACATCAGTCATATTTTGTACAGTTAGTTCATATAAGGATGCATAAAGGACAAAGCATGCACCTGTAAAATAACAGGCTTAATGTAATAATTCTATACCATACCGTACAAGATGATTTATTGGCGAAGAATTATTTTTGGCGATTGGCAGTTCTATGAAAAAATCGCCAATATAAAATCCACCATTTTGTTTTAAGAGAATTTTCACTGTAAAAAAGGAAGTCTAGCTCAGGTGCATTACAGTATGTAATATAGTTAATCTGATTAAGGCTATACTATACAAGATGATTTATTGGTGGGATTAATATTTGGCAAATTTGTCTGTGGAAAGAAATTAGCAGATTTCATATTGCCGATTTTGTGCCATGTGCCATTGAGCATGCTCAGATTGAAGCAAAAAGCTCTCTCTCTCTCAATCACTTGCTCTACCTTAAAAAACAAAAACTAAAAAGACTAATCAGTGACATACATTTGCACATAACTTCACATTAACACATAAAACAGCCCTAGAATGTCTATACATACAATCTAATACTCCAAATAGCTACATGCATATACTTTTACAATACCAGGGGTGTGAAAATCATAATAGTCAGTGTACAGCCTTGTCTCTTCACAAATATTATCATGCCTAGCGCAGACAATATGAAGCAGATCTTCTCAATTGCCTCTCTTGTGATACTCTTCCTGTCATTGGGAGCTGCTGGTACTTCTCTTGGTTTCCTTCAGGCTAACACTAACAATGGAGCATCATGTCGCTTTTATATTTCTCACTCTCAAGCTATGAACTCAAGTCTGGTAGATTATAATGTACCCACTTGTAAGTTGAGTATAGCAAGTGCTGCCATTGCTACAATATGTCTGGCTCTGCTCACTGCCATTGAGCTAATCAGTGTTTCATTTAAAATAAATGTCAAAACGTAAGTTCAGTAGTACGGTAGCTTATTTTTTTACTACTTCATACCATTTTTAAAGGTTGATTGCTAAGATTCTTCAAATTGGATTCTTTGTTGGTTCTATGTTGTTCCTATTGATTACCATGATTGTGGTTTCAACTGGTTGGGGGAAAACCTGTGCTACATACAAAAACATAACTCGAACAGGTGGTGTTCCAGGATCAGTCTTTAACCTTGACTGTAATGGACCGCAATATATCTCTGATGGCCTTGGTTCTAGCATTGGCCCTTTTCCACCAAATGGTGCCGAAATCATAATTGCTGCTGTAAGATACAATCACATGCTAATAATAATTATTCTCCTGATAGGTATTTGCTGGTGTTGGTGTTCTGTTAGCTGCTGGAGCTTTTTTTGTCTATATTGCACAACAACA